AGCTGACCTGTGGCGAGGGGAAGGAGAGCCCTGCACCCTGCGGTGACAGCCTGGTCCCAGCTGGTCCCCCCGCCCTGCTGCCGTGGCAGTGATTCGGACCAGATGCCCAGGTCCTGGGACCAGGTGCTGGAGCTGGTGGTTGCCAGACTGGGCTCTGAAGGTGCTTCCTAGCATGGCTTGGAAGGTGGCAGGAAGAGGCTGTGTTTTGTGCACAGCATTGGGATCTGTTACGCACAAGGTGTTCAGACTGAAAACCACCACCGTCCTCCAGGCTGAAGGGCTGCGGTGTGCTCTGACTACAGTGCCTGTACTTTTGCTTCCTGAGACAAGGTCTCACTACATAATCCAGGCTTTGAACTTGCATTGTAGTCCAGGCTGGGACTTAAAAATTTTGTTTTGTTTTGTCTAGGATTTTTGAAAGAGAGTCTTGCTATGTAATTCCGGCTGGCCTTGAACTCAGTGGTGATCTTCCTGCCTCAGCCTCCCAAGTGCTCGGATTATAGGGATGCACCACTACAGCTTGCTCCACAATCTAATTTGAGGATATTTTTGTCAATTCAAAAAGAACCCCTGCTTCTGTTAGCACTCCCATCCCACCTGCCCGCCCCATCCTGGGCAATTCCTGTACCTGAAGTCATGTGCTACTTCCCAGTGGAGCCCAGCATCTTCCACAGGATCTGTCACATGATCTATGCCCAAGCACTGCTGACTGCGTTGAGGCTGGATGGCATTTCCTTATATGTGGACACATTTATCTGTCCCTTGACTGGGTGACTGGTGTTTGGGTTGTTTTAATTTTGGCTGTTGCAAATCCTGCTGCTCAGGACTGTTACATAATGCTTTTTTTTTTTGTGGTGGTGTCCTTTAATTTTTCTCTGGGACACACATAGGATTGAGGTTGCCATGGAAACTCTATTGTTAGTATTTTAAGGAACTGCCAGATTGTTCTGCAAAGTATTTTTGATGTGTTTTCTAAAACTTTTACTGCCTCACTGATATTCTCTGACAGTTCATTTCCCCACCCTCCCCTTTAATTCCTTTACACAGCTTCCTCTAGGCTTTTGGAAATATTTATAGTAATTGCTTTGAAGTCTCTGCAAGTCTCACATCTGGGCTCTCTCAAGCAGGTTTTATGGGCTGTCCCCACTATCCCCTGAGTGTGAATGACACCCTCCTGTCAGCAGCTCTAGCTGCGGGGGGGGGGGGCTCCAGGCTGTTGGACCCCTTCATCGACATCAGCACCCCTGGGCCTCATTATTCCCCACACTGATGCAGCCTCTGTGGAGCTAGGATGCGGGCGCCAGGGCGGCCATGCCAGGCCGCAGGCCTCTTCTCTCTCTTTCCTCCTGTCTCCCTCTCTCTTCCTCACACCATGGCTGAGGCGCTGTGGCATCCTGGCTTGGGTGGGAGGGGCTGGCTGGGGGCTTGGGAGTGCCTTGTGGAGTGTCCTCCACTCTGGCTGTGGTGCTGGTTACATGGACACAACATCTGTCAAAACTCAGCACACCCTCAATGGCTGCTTTATTGCTTGCAAATTCAACCACCACAAACCTGATTTCTAGGAATAGGAATGGTCATCCTAATAGTTTATCCCAGCCTTGACCAAAATAGAAAAGACGTACAGGCAGGTCCTGGCAAGGCAGTGCTTTTCCCATGCTGGGCCTCAGGAACCCAGGCCTCAGCAAGATTCCTCTAATCCACGGTGGCACACACCTATAATCCCAGTGCTCTGGGAGGCTGAGGCAGGAGGACTGCAAGTTTCAGTTCAGCCTGGGCAATTTAGTGACTGAGCAAGATCCTGTCTCAAAAATAAAAATGAACAAAGGATCAGGGATTAGTTCAATGGAAAGGCAGTGGGTCCAGTCCCCAGTGCCATATGTTTATGTGGCAGGTGGGGCACCTTGGGGGTACACATGAACCTCAGTGCTTCCCCTCCCTGGGCACAGCACCCCTTGGCTGGAAACGCAGACCCCAACTCCCTGCCCAGGGCTCAGTGTGGCAGGCTTGCTGTGGTTTGCACTTAGGAAGGTTCGTGTTTCCTGTTCGGTCCATTGCTGAAGCCTGAATTTCTAAAAATTTCTTTAGTGCAAATATATATACCTAGAGCATGGAGCATATGCTTCACGGGAAGAGCCAAGGCAGGACGTAACTCGGGCCGAATTTTGTGTGATTTGGGTGGTGTCAAACATCCCATAAACCACATCCCTTTGGCTGGAACTCATTCACAGCCAAAGTTCCAGACAAAGGGTCCAGAGTGAGCGGACGGAAGGAGGAAAGAGGTTGGAAGAGGCTGCAGGCCTCCGGGCCCCTCTTGTCTTCTCGCTTGGGGCTTCCTTACGGCCCATCCAAGCCGCAGAGCCAGCTCCCGCCAGGTCCTGCCCCGTCGCTGAGAACCTGCCCGCTGTGCTCAGCCGACCCGTTGCTACCCCAGCCTTGCCTTCTCCCGAGGGCCGACAGGGCCAGGCTCAAGTGCCCCCGGGTCTCCGCAAGGACAGTGGCATGCGAGCTGTGGCCAAGGCCACAGAGCGGCAGCAACTGCGCTTCCGGATGAACCTGCCTGCTTCGACCGCCCGCCGGCGCCCGCCCCGCGCTCCCGGACCAGGACACCTTCTAACCGACCAGCCGGGCCGGGCTTATAGAATTGAGGCCCATTGCCCCTTTCCTGGGTGGACGACCGACCCCGCACTACTCATCAGGAGGGCGCGTTAGACCTCTTGCAGAGCGTCGAGGGCTCGGGCCGTGACCCCGCAGGGCACAGCGATGCTGGCCTCCCGCTGCTCTGGCTGCGGGGAGTGACTCGGGATGCTCCGAGCCCGGGATTCCGGCAATCAAGTCCGGCACTCTCGCTAGCCCCGCCCCTCCCCCCTCCCAGCAAAGCCCCCAAACCACCTCTCTCGCGTACCTAGCCCCGCCCCTCATGCCCCAGCCCCACCCTCAGCCCCACCCCAGTCTGACCACAGCTCCAGCTCCCAGCGAACCCCGTCCTCCGCCCCCAGGCCCCGCCTCCTTGGGCCCCCACTCCTGCTCCACCCGCCTCCCTCATTAGCATAGCAGCTGCTTGCCGAGCGCTACGCGGCAGAGGGCAGAGGCCTTGGGATGAATGGGGCCGCGGCTCCAGAGGGGGCGTGGGGAGAAACACCAACAGACAGAAGGACCGTGAGCCGAGGAACGAGCGCCGGGGCTGGGGTGGGGGTGCGGGCGCCTCCAGATCGAGGGTCTCGTCGAGGCCTCCAAAGGGTCTCACCAGCTCACAGACGCCCCTTGCACTCCCGGCTTTGTTCCCAGACCCTTCCCCCACTTCTGCTTTCCCAGCCTCCAAGGCCCCAAAGGCTCTCGAGCGCCCCTGTGTCCTCTCCTGCTGGGATACTAGGGCTCGGGTGCCCGGTGCAGTCATCTGCGTTCTCGGCCAGCTTTGCATCCTGCACCTCGTTGCCTCCCCTGAGCTTTCTGTGCAACAGCGTGGAGTCTCGCTGTGGCTGCCGACTGACTGCCCCTGGACAGGTCTGACCTGCAGAATCAGGAGGCCAGGGCAAAGGAGGAACTGGGTCACCTGGTTCTCCCATTCTCCCTTGGAGTTAGGGTCTCACTGCGTAACGGAGGTTACTTTGAACTTGCTAAATTGTCCAGACAGTTCTCCTGCCTCAGCTTTTGAGTGCTGGGATTACAACGTGCACTACCACTCCTGGCTCCAGCAGCCACCTCCTACACCCCCACACCACCCCTGTGGTGAAGATGTCCCAGGGAGTCCACTGGACACCAGCACACACCGCACACCACTGGCCAGCACCTGTGGGCTGCCCGCAGAGGCTCAGGAGGGAAAGTACAGTTTTGTCCTGGTCACATCCAGGGCCAGAATTTTTCCTCAGCTCACCAGCCAGCTCCTCTCCACCCAGGTTTCTTGTGGGATGAATTAGAGGGCTACCCTCCCTGTCCTGTTCTCCATGCTGGGACAAAAGTGCATGACCCTGCAAACTGCCCAGTGGAGCAGCCCAGTCCCCCACGAGGCAGGGCTGTGGCAGGGAGCTAAACCATCCCTCAGGGTGGCAACCCTAGGCTCCTAAGCCACCAACCTCTCCTGGGTGGGAGTGTCACCCGTGCTGCAGACACAGCTGCTGGACCCTGCAGGCTGATAGCTTTCATGTTCACGGTCTTCCCACTCCTGTGCATGTGGCACCCACACCTGATCTCAGCCTCTAGGTGCCCAACTGGCCCAGAGCAGGCACTCCAAGATCACGTGCTCCTATCACACAGTCCACCCACTTGTGTGGGAGCTTCCGAGAGTACAGTTCTAGGCACTAGGCCAATACTGGGGCACCAAAGGCCTGTGTAGCTGACTGTAAGCTCTTCCCGGGTAGCAGCAGGTCTTGACAGGATAGAACAGGGAGGCTGACCCGCTGCTCCACAGAGGTCGGGGGCATCAGGACAAAAACTTCCCTGCCTACCACGTGGCCCACTTACTAGAGTCCCTGTTCTGCAACTTGTTGCTGCCTGGGTAGTCCCCTAACCTGTCAGTGGCTCCCCTGTACCTTCCAACAGCCCCACATTCCAGCCTCTCCTCCTGGGTACCTGCTCTGCACACTCTGGGTGCCCAGCCAAAGCTTGTCCCTGGGCTCACACGTGATCTGTCCTTTGAGAATGACTGCTCAGGCCTGTGACTCCAGATAAGCTGGGGTCTTCTACTTGTCAGGAGGGAATAACTTCTAGGTACCCCAAACCTGCAGCCCTCTGGGGCCTAGGTAAAGAGTAGAGGGGCCTGGTCACTCAGCAACGGGTTCTGAATCTGGGCAGGCTCCTAGACCAAGAGAATCAATCCAAAGCAAGGGTGACACCAGCCTCAGGGTCTGGGTGGCCCCTAGGCCTCCCAAGTCCTGTTGGGGTCGGCCTGGATGCGCCCTAGAGGGAGAGGTTCCATCAGCCCCTGAAGAGGGTGTCTATGACTTGTGCTGAGACCAAAAACACCCAAGATTTTTTTAATATAAAAAGTTCAAATGAAAAATTTATTTTTAAATTTTTCAAGCCGGGCTACAAGTCTATTATACGTTCAGGAACGTGCTGCAGACTTATCCAGTTGGAAGTGATCAAACCGGGACCCATACAGAGAGAGCTTCTACTTAAGCCTAGAAGTCTTAACATTAATTAACATAATTAAAAAGGCATTTGCATGTAGAAAAAACACAGACCTCCCTTTGGAGTAATCTGTGCCTGTTCCAATGTCTGCCTGCTTCGCGGCATTAGCGACATATTCTTCTCACGTGGTTTCATGAAGGCGAGGAGAGGCCTGGCATGCCCGGCCAGTACGAAGTGCCTCCGCCCACCTGTGTCCTCCAGCGCGCCCCATTTCTGCACGCAGGGTCAGCAGCACTTCTGTGAAGGGGAAACCTCATTTAAATTTGAATAATTCAGCCTCCTTTTTATTTCCCGGGATCAAAACAACAAGGGGTGTGGGGCTGCATAGAGAATTGGAACCACGGAAACCAGGAAGGGCTTCTTTGCCCGGCCCAGCTCCGCAGGCAGCCCCTCCCCCACGGCGGGCTCCTCGGGCCGGATCCCCCAAGCCGGGGAGGCCGAGGCAGGGCGGGCGACCCTCCAGCTCACTAGCAATAGCACGCGAGATTCACAGTCATATAAGCATTTTATAAAAATATAAATATGGGTACACTGTTGCCTTCACAACGCTGGATACAACGCCCTTTAAAATTGGGTTCATAACCAAGAGTCAAAAATACAACTAAAACTTGGCTTTAAAATAGGTTAATATTTTATATTGTCATAAATGTTATGACATTTAATCGTGGCAAATCCATTTACTTTTTTTAAAAAAAAGTGTGCAACCGACTGTTAACTACACTAGCGCTCACTCGGAGGGGTGAAGTCCTCTCGTCCCCAGCCCCAGCCCCGCGCCGCGCCGCAGTTCGGCTCCCAGGCACTTGCGAACTCCGCAAACCGGCCCGGTGGGGGCGGGGCTCCCGACGAGCGAGCGCAGGGAAGGGAGGTGAGGGACCGCGAGCGGGGGCGGGACGGGAACATCGTGGGGCTAGGCGTATTTTCAGTGCAACCAAGAAATGGTAGACTCAAGTTTTTAAGACTAGGAAAAAATCCACCTTTCCCCCATAAAACCATATTGACCACGCACAATATTTTCCAAAGAACAAAAAAATCAGGCGCACAAACTTCACCCACAAATATACACACACGTGATAAATACAGGGGCCATGAGCGTCTCCGTCGCTGCGCGCCCGAGTCCGCCGCGCGCCTTCACCTCCAAGAGAAAGCGCTGGGCGCGGGATCCGAAGTCCGGGCTCGGAGGGAGCCGGCTGCGGGACTCAGGTTTCAAACGCGCCGGGCGCGCCCTGCCCCCACCCGCGAGGCAAGGCGCGGCGCCCGCCGCCGGGAGGCGCTGGCCAGCGAGAGGCGCGTGCAGTCTGGCCGCGCGCGCCGTACTCTCCGTGGCTGCAGGCGCCAAGGGTCAGCGAACCCGGCGCACACCGAGGTAGTTGGCGGAAAGGAACAGCAGAGATGACACACGGACGCGGGCCCGGCCGGGTACAGGTCCAGCGGGCATCACCGGCCGCTGGCCGCGTACTTGGCCTTGGTAATGAGATAGAGCACGATGTCCTGGTGGCCACCGAACGCGGCGATGTGCAGCGCGCTCCAGCCGTCGCGGTTGGCCAGGCGGATATCGGCGCCGAATTTGACTAGCAACTTCACCAGCTCCAGATTGCCGTCGATGACCGATTGGTGCAGCGCCGTCTGGCCCTCGGGCCCGAACGAGTTCACGTTGAATTCGCAGTTGGTCATGTTCTGCAGCAGCGACTGAAGCTCCCGCGTGTTGCCCCTGCGCACGGCTTCCTGGAAGATGCGCTGAGTCTGGGGCGCCGAGCAGGTGGACAGCTCGGCCTGGCTCATGCTGCCGCCGGGCGCGGGCCGACGGCCGGGCCGGGGCTCAGCGCGGCGGCGGCGGCTTCGGTGCGGGCCCCCGGCTGCCTGGGCGCATGGAGGGCGCTGTGCCCGCAGGCTCCGCACGCCGCTCCTGCGCGCTCCGGGCCGGGAGCCCCCGCCGCATCCAGCCGCGCCCGAAAGGGCGGGCGACCGGGGCAGGCACTGTGTTCGCAGAGACGGGCGCGGCCAGACTAGGAGACGGGCGTGGCCCGGGTCTCAGCCCCTCTCCGGGTCCCTGCTGCGTTCGTTTGGGCTCTTTTGTGCCTCCACGCAGCTCCCGCTCGTCTTCCCCACGTCTCGGTTACTGCTAGCCAGCCGTGCCCGGGCGCCTTTTACAGTCTTTATATTTGCATAACAATAGATGACCGTGACGTGTGGGCCAGCGGGTACGCGATTGGGCTGCGCCCACGTGGGGGCGTGGCGTGGGCGTGACTCGGTGGCCCTGAGCCCCACGGCAGGGGGCGCTGGTCGCAGGCTCGGGTTAGACCAGGTATAGAGAGCGGCCCGGCCTTTGCTCAGCTGCTGCCACCTGTGCCTGCGCGCTCTGGACCCCGCCTCCTTCTGCCACCTACGGTCTCTCGGGCCAGCCAGCTCCAGGCCCGCTCCTCCTTTGGCCAGTGACCCGTCCACGAGCGACGGGGGCTCGTGATCCTCGGGCTCCAGGTCCTTCCTTCGCAGGGTGACTTCTCCGGGACTCGGCCAGCCTGTGTGCCCCACCATGCGGCTCCTACGGGGGTCCCCTCTCCTGATGAGGGTGGGGCAGGCAGTCACTAATCCTCCTCTTGGCCCCCACTGCTGCCTGTGCCTGTTCCTATCCACCAGGACAGGGCCACCAGTGCCTGGCTAGTGCCCAGCCCCAGATAGGCGCCAGCGCCACACGGAGAGGGATTCGGAAGTGCCAGTTTTCCAAACTGTAAAACCAAGCCACTTTTTACTGGCCACTCTAGCAACTGACAGGACTGGGAGGCCTAGCTGGGGAGGCCGCGCATTTCCTCATTAGGCTTTACGGTTTACAGCTCGCCTGTGGTCTCTGGAAATTAAGGAGGAACGATTCTCCACCTCACAGAGCAGGAGGCCAGGACAAGTCGGGGCTTGAATTCCTTCGGAGGCCAGGCCAGAAGTCCTAGCAGGCGGCTTGGGCCTGAAGGGGACCACCCTGCCAGGCCATGGGGACACACACGGCCTGCTGCTGCAGTGTCCCCACCCCCTCATGTGGGCTGGCCTCACCCTGCCTGTGCTGTGGAGGGAAGAGCCTGGGGTCGACAGCAGGGAAACCAGCTCTGGCCAGAGCTCTCAGGCTGACCCAGGCTGACTTGAGCAAGGCCAGGGTCCCCTGGGGTCATCCTGGGAGCCTGGGAGCCTGTGCTGGTCTTTCTGAGGTCAAGAGTGCCTGGCTGTGCTCATCTGATCTCTAGACACTAGCCCCCCACCCCATGTCTCCCAGCGTCTCCCACAGGCTCCCACGTGCAGCAGCCCCCAGCGGCCTGCCCACAGTGCAGGTGGGAATATTGAAGCTCAGGTTCTGCAGCTGGCAACTTTGGACTCAAACACAGGGAGCTGCCCACTGGACCACAGTATGTCACCAGGCTGGATGTGGAATACACTCAGGAAGGCTAGAGCCACCACCTGGTTGCTCCTCCATCTTTCCATGGTCCTGGGCTTGGCAAAAAGTGTGGCAGGAGGTGTTGCCACGCTCTCTTATCTGCCAGAACAGGGCCACCAAGCCTAGGGCTGTCTCTCAGGACAGGGGACGGTTCCCAGATAGGCTTCTGCCCAGGTGGGCTTTGGCAGAGCTTGGAGAAGGCATCCAAGATGCCTGGCAGAGCAGAGCCTGGGAGAAAAGTCCTGTTGACATCCGCGGCGGGGCAGCAGACAAAGGGGCCTGTGTGAGCTCAGTGTGGGAACTCGAGGCCGCCACCACGGGGCCGTGAAATCGGCGGCGGCCCTGATGAGGTCTGGACAGCCCTGGCAGGGGTGGTGTGGCGGGAGCCTACCCTGAGGTCACCCTGCTGGGGTCAGGAGTGAGGGTCATCACTGTATGTCTGCGACAGAACCAGTTGCCTGGCTGCTGTGGGGTACAGGTGACCCCACTGCCCTGGGAAAGCTGGGCCACCCCTTGCCCCTGCAATGGGCTCCAGGGATCCAGCTGGAGCTCTGAGGCTGGCACCCCAGTCCTCTTCCCATAGCAGCCTCACTGAAGAGAGGGCTGGAAGGGTTGGAGTGCTGACTTCTGGTAAACCCTGCTTGAATGTTTGTTGAAGGACACATCCAATTTGGGACATTTGTCCCAAATGCCAATGGTGTTAAGGAGGGGAGGGGGCTCAGAGGACCCTAGTGACCTCTGGTTTAGGGCCTGGAGTTCCCACCCTAACTGTGAGGCTAGCCCCCAGGATCCTGCCTTAGAGGTGTCCAGCTTCCCAGGAGGTGACACTGGGGCCCCCTTCTACCCCTAAGAACCCCATTCCCTTCCTTGGAGGCTAGGGCAGTGGGCAGTTGTGGGCGTGTTCTGGGACCCTGGCTGAGGCAGATGGGGCAGCCTGGGAGGGCCTGGGGAGGACAGTGCAGAAAGGGCAGCTGGCCAGGGCCGCGCAGAGGCCTGCCGCCACCTTAAAGGCACCAAGCAGGAGAGGGAGGCAGCAGGCAGTGGGGGCGGGGCCTCCAGCTAATTCATTAAAATGTGTCGGGGAGCGTGGGAAAGAGGAGAGTGTTTCTTCCCAGCAGTCCAGACACCTGGTAGAAGGGCTGAGAGAGGATAGGAATCAAATAACAAACACTCAGCCCCGGCCAGCACCAGCCTGCGCTGAGGAAGGACGCCCAGGCAGGAACTGCTGCAGACAATCGCTGTGACCAGGGCTCTTGCCTGCCTACCCCGCCAGTCAGCAGGGCTGGCTCTGGGGGCCACAGCCACCCGGTCAGCATGATGACTGTCCCCAGCTCCTGCACTGGGCGGGTCAGGGCTGAGAGGGTCCCTCCCCACAGACCAGGATGGAGGTGTCAGATAGCCAGGGTGAGACTGTGCTGGGTGACAGAGGGGCTAGAGTGCAAGCAGTGACACCAGTGGGTCTGACCAGGACCCAACCTGGAGGCAGGGCACAGTGTCCTGGTCCCTGTTACGCCTCTGTCTGCAGCAGCTACTGCCTTGGGCCTAGCAGGGAGGAGAGGTACAGGCTGTAGCTGGCCTGGGCAGCAGTCAGTGCCCTCAGTCACTTCCCGAGTCCCTCCCCCAGGCGGATGTGGAGCCCAGCGCTCCCACTCTCTGCAGCTGTGTTCAGGCCCTCCGCTGTTCCTTCAGCTCCATGGCCTGAAGCATAGGCACAGGCTGGAAGCTGCAAGCAGGTATGGGGGAAAGTCTAGACTTGGGCTGGCTCTGCAGGGACCCTGGCTTGGCTGGGCCCAGTCCTCTCCTGTTTGTGAAATCCCCTCTGGACTGTGGGGGGTCAAGTGACCTGGGTTGCAGTCCCAGGGACCCAGGGGATCCCAGCTGGGCCTGCACACCTGGGGGCTGTGGGTGCTCTTGGCACAGCAGCTGTGGCTGTCAGCCCTGGCTCCAGCCCCTCTGCCTGGAGGCATCCGCCTAGGTTCTTTGGCCAAATCAGAGCTGGTTTCCTCTGAGAGCAGGAAGCAGAGGAAAGGGATGGGGGGGGGGGGCACATTCCTGGGGGGTGAGTGAGAAGGTGCAAGCTCATGCAGGACCAAGCTGGGGCCCCTTTCTGGCCTCCCCACCCCCATCCCCACCAGGCACCCTGCCTCCCTGCCCCCTGCCCTCCCTAGTACCCTTGGGTCCTCTGGGGTGGTAGACGGGGGCATCCCGGCCTCAGCTTCTTCCTGAGCCGCAGCAGGGCAGCTACTTCCAGGAAGCGCATTTGTGACCACAATCTCTATATAGCAGAGTGTGAGGTGTGTTGGGGGGCTGGTGGTGCCTGCCTGGTGAATTCCTCTCCCTTCCCCAGGTATGGAACCTGGCTCAGGGCCTGGGCTCTCTGGAAACCCTGTCCTCTCTGTCCCTGAGAGCTTGCCAAGGGGGCTCCAGAAGGTTTGTGGGACAAGAGCGGATAAAGAGTCAGCCAGTGTGGTGGTACATGTGTACAGACCCAGCACTTGGGAGGCTAGGACAGAAGGGTAGCCATGAGCTTGAGGCCACCCTGCGCTACATAGTGACTTTAAGGCCATGGCCTCGAGTCATGGCACCAGCCCTTGTGGGGACGCACATTCACATCTATTGCTGCTGTCTGGCCTGCTCACTCTCAGGCGGGGCTGTTGGCCTGGATAGGGCCCTGTAGGACCTTGTGGAAGTGCAAACCCCTCCCAGAAGACCTTGCTGCAGCAAGTGCAGCAGAAGAGCCCAGAACACCCGTGAGACCCTTCTAACTACAGCTGTGAGTTGTTTGAACGGTGCCGGGCTGCAGGTCTGCCTCCTCTAGCCAGTAGCCAGGGAGGGCATGCCCTCCAGCGACTACCTCTGGGACTGAGCCTCGACAGATGAGGGGCCACCTTGAGCCCTGATCTGTGCCACCTGGCTATGCCCAGAGTCCCTCTTTATAGACTTACCTGTGCTATTGGCTGTGTACCTCCTGTCCAGGGACCCTGGCCCTGTGTTCTCAGCTCTGTTGTGTGAAAGCTCCCCTTACCCCGCAAGCCTCTCAAGGGCCAAGTCCTTGGTTTGGGGCAAGTCAAGGGGTTAAGGCCCAGGCAAGCTGCTGCGGTGGGCGGGCGGTACAGGGCTCACCTGGCTCCCTCTGCACTGTGGGAGGCCTCATCACTTGTCAATCAAGGATGACATGGTGTGGTGTGGCTGCCCAGAGGCAGCTGTGAGCCAGGTTACAGGGCTTCTTAGAGCCTGGGGCCCCACTATGGCCCTTGCAAGGAGGGCAAAGGGCCAGGGACTGATAAGCTCTGGCTCTGGGCTTCCTCCACAGGGAACTTACACCTTCAGTGTTCTTGGGGCTCAAAGGTCCCTGGGAAACGTGTTCTGGGCAGGAGTTCTGATTAAGCCTGGGGGCCTGAGAACCCACTGGTGGCAATGAGGAGATGAGCCCATGGCCAAGGAGCCCATTTTGAAACCAGTTGGGACTAGGGTGGGTTGGCAGGCAGGGCTGGGGGCTGCTGGGGTACAGGGGACTGTGCAAGATCTGGGGTGGTTTGAACACTGGGCAGACAGGCTGGCTGGCAGGCGCCCAGGGTTCATGCGGGGCACAGGGCAGCAAGGCTGCGGAGCCCTGGTCAGCAGATGGGAGCCCCTGGGCCTGTGGACCCTTATAGTTTTCTTGGCAAACATTTCTCTCCAGATGGCTCTGGAGTAACCGCAGACAGGGCCACCCGAA